AATTATTTACAAGAATAAGAAAAAATCAATATATATCTTTTTTTTTGTCATGAAGACAAAAAATGCATTATTGTTTATTATATCGAGATAAAATCATTAATGAATCAAAAGAATCTTAGCAAACAAAACCATTATTTTTTTGATGTGGCTTACATTACCTTTCTAAAACTTGTAATAAAATTTAAAAGTTTTAAATCACATTCAACATTATCAATATAGATTGACACTTCCAAAGAATTCCAACCAAAAAAGATCTCATCAACAAAGTGAAGACAAGTCTAAAGGGAGAAAACTAAATCTTTTTGAATTTATACTTTTGGCTAATTACTCCAATTATCTATCCTATATGGAGGATATTGAATAGTTAAATGGACAAGAAAAATAAATTTTGGTATACAATTATGGTGTTAAATTTTCTGTTACATTTGTCTGGTTCTGTTGACATATAATTGATTTTTCAAAAGTAAGTGATTGTGGTTCATCATTGTTACAAAGAATGAGTTTGCAGAATTGTATGGATCATTTCCAAGCCAGAGCAAAACACCTTTTTAATGGCATTAAAAAAGAAAACTTGTATCAATGACAGAGCCTTCTACTGTTGAAATCATAACACACTTTCTCTGGCAGAAAACCTATCTCAATATGTCAAAAATTGGTCTGGCTTATTTCAGAAATCATTTGAAAATGATGTAGAGTTCATATGACCGCAGCGAAGGATTTTCTTTTTGCAGAGGTTCATGTTTGCTTTGTTGCAGTATAGGAAAAAAAAATAGATGATAAAAATCACACATACTCGCATAAATATTATGTACATACAAAAATAAATTTATAATTTATTATAACCTTTTTAAAATAATAAATAATCCTTTATTTATACGATCCAAAGTTTTGAATTGATTTTAAATAATCTTTACGAAAATTATTATCATCGGCTGGACCTATAAATACCAATATATATATATACATACATGTAAATATGAATTAATGATTCTTTTTTTGTGAAAATGAATGAAATAACTTACGATTAAGTGCTACCCGTATTGGTTCCTTGTGATATTAATATTAGATTATAAATTGTTGTTAAATTATTTGATTATATATTTTTTTAATCATTTGTAATATTAATGAAAATATTACCTTTTTAAATAAACCTAAAAAACATGATATTAATAATTAAATAAACATTAGTAAATATTATTTTAATAACCATAAATGATAATAAAATACTTACGCATAGCCTTCATGTAATCATTGGTGTCAGGTGTGAAACGATGATAAATTCCCGGAGGCTTTCATATAAAAATGAATGGGTAAGTGTTTTAAGAATGGTGGTGGTTATCACCGCTCATTGTCACTCTAGTTATTAATAACTTTATTTTTAAAAA